TGACCTGGCTCTACCATCACTCTCCTCCAAAGGCTCAGAGGGAACTCAGCCAGCCACCCTCAAGAAAACCAGAAAGTCCTTTCACAGAAAAGAAACTTCACAATAACATTTTCCCCCTAGAAAAAAAAATAAATAAAAAGAACACATTTATTTGCAAAATTGGCCTAAATTTTTTTTTCTTTTTCCTTTCAAGTGTTGAAAACCTCAGTACTGTGGCCTTCACATACAACAGACATCATCACATACATCAGGAGCCAAGGAGGTGCAGAGGGGCTGGGAGCCTCGCTGCAGCACAACCCAGCAGAGCGTCACTGGTTTAATTGACTGATGATTTAATAAAATGCTCTGCATATAGATTAACTAGCTCAGCTTCCTGGCAGCAGGAATTGGCACCACACATTTCCTGGGCTGGGAGCTGGGCTGCCCAGGGGCTGCACCCACCCCTGCTCCAGCCAACCTCCCTGGCCAAACCACTTCCCTTACCCAAATCTTTCCCGTCATCCTTCCGAAAATAATGAAGTTTAACAAAAAGTTAAAACATAGGCAAGGAGATAGTACACATATGCATAAAAAATGTGCTTAAGCCTTATCCACGCTATAGCAAGTCCCTAACCCAGCTTTGCCAGCCCTGTCTTACTCTAGAGATTAATACTTGGTCAAATAACCTTAGTCTCAGCACTTCCTTCTTGTTGCACTATTTCAATCTCATAATTGTCAAAAAAAAACCCAAAATCGTTTAATGGATCACTTAATTCCTGCCCAAAGCCTGGAAAGAAATGAAACAGTGTAGGGTTAATAAAAGTAGTGCTGTCCCCTATGCCTGGCAGAGGAAGGCAGAGATCCCTCTCAAAAGTGCACATCTGGTTTTCCTGCTCCCACCTCTCCAGCTATCAGCAGACACAAAAAACAAACCTACACAACCCAAATCACAGCAGCTATCTCTCTACAGTCCATATGCCCAGTTTCAAATAAAGAAAGATACTGTAAAAGTTGGAAAAACAGAGAGTAAAAGGATTATTAGCCAGCTCTAATTATACAAACTGATCTCATCCTCTTGTCATAAGCCTCTTTCCTGTTTCCGGAATCTATTTGTGCAACAGAAAGACCAGCCTTTTGTAAATGTCCATGGGTCATCAACACAGGCTGATTAATTTCCCATTTTACAATACACATATACTGTCAACCAATTCACTTGTAATCCGATATAACCCTGACCTCACTTGTCAATTTTTTTCCTTTACCATATTACTAAAGGCAAACAATACTTAAGGTACCTATTTGTAAAATCCAAACAACATTTCAAAAGGAGCTATCACGCTGCTCTAATAAAATAAAAATCACAGACCACATCTTCAGCTCAAGTAGCTACATCCTAATAAAGTTAAGACCCAACAGTCAACTTGAATTAAAGAGCACCATGTACGCAAAAGAACACACATGTTTATACTCAAATTAAGTCCTCCAACAGGTTCTGGGGCAGCTGTTTCACGTATGCATGAGACTTTTATCTCAGGCTCAAATGCTAACTTTCAGAAATCCTTAGCAGACATTGCAGCTGCCTCTTCAAATGAGCAAAATCCAGTTTATACCTTCCAATATACCTTGTCATTTGAAAACGTGTTTTGGCAGTAAACTGTGGGGAAGCTCTCAGTGACAACCAGCTCACCTTTGTAAGAGTGATCTTGACTTTGGGGGTTTAAGTAGGAACTTCATGAAAATCCCCAGGTATCAGGCTGGGCAGCATCACACAAGTTACTAGTTACCTTTGAAAACAGAGATGCATAGTATGGGACCAGGTGAAGAATGCTGGGGAAGGAAGAACAGGCTTTGGGGAGTGTTTCACTCCAGTTATAACAGTTATAAAAATGTGATGAAGAGCTGTCATAAGCAACAAAATGCCTTCAGCCTTACACATGTAGTGGGAGAGAGCAAAACCTCCAACTATTGATTCCAACAAGCTCTTGACTATAGCATGTGTCCTAAAAACAGCCTTCTCCACCTTATTATTCTCTGATTCTCAAGGCTGTGCTGTTTGAGGAACTACACTGAGCAATGATGGCTTCAGTGAAAAAAATAATACCTCCAACCCTGGAGCTGAGCAATAAGGCCGTGCTTCTTCTCTGTGCTCCCCAAACCACAGCACTTGTACTGCATTCCCAAAACCACAGGCTTGGAGTACAAAAGAATCCATGATGCCTGAAGCATCATGCATGCTTTTATGATGGCAAATATTAATAAATATTTCCTAGCACATACAAACCAGGTAGTTACCCAATAAGTGCATGCACCAACCTTAACTCTCCACAGCAGAGAGTTCCAGCCACAGAGTTGGAAAAACTGGTATCAGGATCAAGATCCAAGAGACATTTCCACTCACATTTTGACCAAAGCAGCTTCAGTGCCCAAATTTTAATGCATTCTTCCTCTCCAAAGAATACATCAGACTCACTTTTCCCTTTAGGTTCCCTTTTGCAAATGCTCCCACTGTGGCTCCAGGCATCGCAGACTTACTCAGGAAAAGCCTGGTTGGAACTTTTTTCCAGAAGAGGAAAACTTCACGAGGAGCTTTGGGTTTCCTACAGGAGTACCTGTACTAACCTTGCTCTCTGTGTCACAGCACGACCACACCCGCCACTGCAGAATTACAGAGTGTTTCTTCATAATTGCTCCTGTTCTTTCAACTCAAAAACTATGGGAATATGTTCTTCTCTGAATTAGATACTTTAGGTAGTGCAGAACATGCCCATTTTGCTGAACATCCTTTCTGAAGCACGACAGTCTCCAAAATGCACATCATTGACCTAATGGGTGCAATGATGGAGTTATTTGGTGCAGCATTCCCAGAGAGGAGAAATGAGAGCTGTAGCTCTCTTCCCAGGACACTGTATTACACAGTGCATCCAGGGAATGTCCCACAGAAAGTAAAACCCCAAGCAACAGAATGTATTACTCCCCCAGATCAGAAGAGAGAGAACATTTGTTTAAATCCAATTTTTAAATAAATTAAAGAATCAAATAATAAAAATCCAAACCAGCACAGTTTGTACCCAGTTCCACTACACCACCTTCTACATTAGAGCCTTTCTACAGCTCACTCACACTCAAAAAACTAAATTTTGCAGACACCCCACTTCGCACCTGAAATCATTTCTTTCCGCTGCCTTTACAAAGTGGCCTTTCACACTGGTCCCACAGGAATGCAAGGGGTTAAAGTGCCCACAGGTCCCAGCCTTTCCATTAAGTCCTTTATTACCCCAGCTCGGGGACAAGGAGCTCTGCAGAAGGGAGAGCCCACGCTGTGCAGCTGTTCGCCAGCCAGGCACCTCTCCACAATTATAGCACAGGATTAAGCTCAGGGAGTGGAAATCCGTCCCTTCATTGCTGGTGGCTTTTTTTTTTTTTCAAGTTATGCAGCTATTTTAAATGTTACAGAGCTCATTAACATGAAGTTCATTAAGCAGTAACCACTTTATGAATGAAATGAAAAGATTATCATTATAAGCCCAATTATGGAAATACTAGACCAGCAGGCAGGAAAAGGAAAGGGTATGAGAATGCTGCTCCTTAACTCCAGTTTAGCCTTTTTGTTTTCCCAGATTCTTCACAGGAGGCACACCCAAAAATCAGACGTGATGCAGAGGCTGGTTCCCAGGAAGGACTTCAGGTGAGAAGCTCTTGTGCCTGTGCTGGGCCTCCCCAGAGGTTTTGAAGTTACTGCCATGCCAAAAGTCATCCCTTTGGTCACCTCCAGGAAAGGTCTGGCATCTTCCACAGCATCAAGCACTGCTTGTTGCAAGTTCAACATGCTCCCAAAATCAGCAGAAAGTTAAGAAACACTGTGGCAAATAAAGCCACAAATTGCTCCTCTGCAGCTGGCGTCGTGCATTCCTTCTTTAAACATGATGAACTTGGAGACCAGCTCTAAGCAAGACATTTATTCATTCCTGATAAAGCAGGTTCCATTCATAATTTTGCCAAAGACTTCATTTCTTTCCCAAGATCTGAAAATAGGTATAATTCCCCTGCTCGACCCCACTGAATAAAGTAAAGCCAAGCAGTTACAATAAATACTTGACTCTACAGTGAAAGCCTTTTATGATTAATCCACCCAGCTGTTGCCACAGCTCAGTAACACCAAATGACTGGGACTCGATATCATGGAAGTGCTGGTCTTCCAGGCAAGACCATGGAAAATGTGAGGCATTGCAGAAGGTAAACAAAACAGGTTAGGGACAGTGGGAGAAGAAAAGAGGCAGCTTGACATGGTTGTCCTCTCTTCCTCCCTCAACAGAGCTCAAATATGACAAGCATCCATTTGCAGGCAAGACTCTCAAAGTTTCTTTGCTTCAGGCTAACAGTTTTTGCATATTCAAGTCTTTTTGGAGAGAATGGGTGTAACTCCATGAGTCAAAACAGCTACTGTCAGTACTGCAATAACCATATCCTCCCTTTTAGGTCGGATCCATCCCCTGATCTGGTTCACCACACCAGAAAGCTGGTGTTAACCGAAAAACAAACCCAGAAGCCTCAACAACACGACTGCTCCAGGACAGACAGACGGACAGCCGTTATGCAGACAGGGAGGAACATCCCATCAGCAGCTGGCAGGACCTCAGCTCTGATCCTGACTGGCTCCCATACAAATCCTTGAGCTGTAACCATGTGCCTGCCGAGGGACACGCAAGCTGTATCTTAAAATATTGGGGAAAAACAGCTGATGCTGTAAGTGTTAAGTGCTATTTCACACCATGGCATATGGTTGATACAAGAGGCGAGACCACACATCTCTTTTCTGTTTCCACCACAAAAAAATTTTATTTCATGGCAAAGTAACTTTCTGAATTTGCTTATAACATGTGTTTTGATATCAGCATGCTCTCCTGCTGTCAAGGGTAAGTAAGCCTGACAAATGGCTTGGCAATGGGCAAACCCATTCTCCCAAACCCCTCACCTCAATCCTTGTTTCTGCCTGAAAAAGCTGCCAAAACATTTAACCTTACTTTAACTGCATGAAGCAGTACAGGCGGCTCCAAGACGTCCTTCAGGTCGTTCCCACACCAAGCAGGCAGGAACAGGGCAGGTCACAACACTCAGCTCCTGGAAGAGAGGGAAGAAGGAGGAGTCACCAGGTGCAAGGGTCATCATGGCTGCTGGGGTTCCAACACACAAACTGGCATCACAACACCTTCACCAAGGGGGATGGAAACCATCCTCTCCCTTGCAAGCAGTACAGGAGGCACGTGTTGCCTCCCATGGCAGTCCCACGTGGTTCCACGAGCACACACGGGGCAATGACCACACTATGTATAGGGCTATCTACATCAGCATCTCTAAGAATAACTGTGCTGCTGAGTTGTATTTGCTGCTGTCTTGCTATTTGATTTATCCCCAAAGCTGTTGATCTGATGTCCACCAGTATATCACAAACCACTAAGCTGGCCTTAAGTCCTCTGCATCCATCAACACAGCCCCTCCCAGACTCCATCAAACTCTTAGTGAACTCCTTCATGGTAAGGTATTTTAAAAGGAACAAAAGCACTAGAGGTAGATGATGGCAGGTGATAGCCAGCAGATGAAGCCCAAATCTACCAGCAAATCTCCCAAACCCTTCTGGGCTGCCTGCACTTTTCCACAGGCTGATTTCCTTCTCCAGGGAAAAATCTACTCAGTAGATTCATCCATAGGGATAAACCTGGTCTACAAAGCACACCTGGAAAGAGCAGTTATAGTGGATTAAATGCCAAAAGGAGAAAAAGCCCAGGTTGGGCTTTAGTTTATTGAATGCTATGTGGGAGATTTTATTAGCTAAATCAAAGTCATCAGGGTACCTCAGGCCATCATCTGGTTACCACAACAGGAAAGGCTGTGGCTACACACACATCACCAAACACAAGCGCGACACACCAACTGCCTCCTCCTGTTCCACCAGATAGAGACTCTGCCCCTGTGCTCTCCCTGCTGGGAAAGCATCCATAATCTGGGAATCTCACAGCCTGAGCCAACCTGCCGACCTCAAAGTGCAATTACAAGCACAGAATTAACAATGGCAAAACTAGTTACCGGCTGGAAATCAATTGTATTGTGTGAATTAGCTGGGAACATACTGCACTGGAAGGTAATGCACTGCACAACAAATCTCACTTCTTCATCTGCACAGGAACAGCATCACCTGAACACCTCAGAGTTGGTTTTACACAATTTACACATTAATGGCTAAAAGACTCTTTTATGCATTCTGCTGAGAAATGGGGAGAGTATTTTGTAAGACACTACAGGGTTTTAAACTGTGTTTTACTGCAAGTATATATATTTAGACATAGACCAAATTGGAAAAAAGAAAATTCATATGCTTTTTCCTCTTCAAGTATCAGGACTGTGCACAAATTCCTTCACTGCGATGTCACACATTTCTGAATTACATTCTTATGCCAAACTACTGGAGCTGAAAGAGGAATTACCTGAACTCTTAAACCCCAGTTAAGAGCACACAAACACTCTTTGGATTCATTAACCAGCAAAAACCACCCTTGCAGCCACAAACAAACAGACTGGAACTTCCCTCCAGCATTTCTGTAGTGTTACTCTCAGGACCACATTTTAGAAGATGGTTACCATTTGATAAGGCAATGATTAACTCTGTTAAGTAAGAAACATTAACCCAAGGCTCCTATTTGCCATCCTGTGTTGATCTCCAAATGACAGCTCTCTCCTAGGCACATACAACAACAATGCAGTGGTTTCATTTGTTTGTGAGACACTGATAACTTGGATTTTAATACTGTGTATATTTTGGCAGAGAAAGCAGGGTTTGCTGCTACTCCTTTGAACCAACAAGGAATATGGGTATGGCTAACACTGCTAAAGTAGATATTGAGCCTGTTGTGAATCACTGCAGATTTTTTCCTCATATCCACTAAGGAATGAGGGTGTGTGTATGGAGTCACATGCGAAGCCAACTTGGATGTTCAGGACTTGGAAAGTATTAGCAAGTGAAGAAAATCAACAGGCCTACCAATGAAAAGCTGAAACACAGATCACAAAATTCTTCCTCACGGTTTTTTGTTTGTTTGGTTTTATTCTTTGGGAATTTTTAGATTGCTACAAGAAGAAGCAAATAACATTTAAAAAGTCTTAAATATATATTTTAGTTCCACATGTAAAGAGCTTACACAATCACTAAGGTTCTCCACATCAAAGAATCCATTCCCCAAAGAACTGATTTCTGCTTCCCATGAAGATGTTATGGGACAACCCCTACATACCTAAGCACACCCCTTTCAGAAGGATTTCCCCATGGGGATTTCTTCTCCTCCTCTTCCTTTACTGTGAAAATCATTACCAAGTGTAAATGAACACTGACATAGCTCCTGTTTTCTGAGTCTTAAAATCACAGGAAGATGATGACATACAGAAGCTTTATAAAAAGCAACTTGGTTTCTACATTGCTCTGCCAACATTCCCAACAACCTCTAACTGGATAATTTCTACCTAAAAGGTGTGATAGTAATGATAACACCCAGTACTCACTAAAGTAAATGAGAATATAAAGAAGATCTTATTGACACTTGCCTTTATACGACCTATTTTGCTTGGGTTTAATAAAAATAGGGGAAAGCCCCATCTTATTGCTAGGACAGGATAATTTGATAGTGGACTGCTCATGGTCTTGCTCCCTCCATACTGAGACAGCTAAAGAAGACATTTCTGAGGCCACTGATTAATTACTAAAACATCTTTATGAAGAGAGAGGAAAATAAAATTTAAGGACAGTGTTACAGTTATTTACAATTTTAAGAAGACAAAGTAACTGGCCCTGCGGATTATATATGTAATTCCTGTAATAGATGACTTCTTTTCCCAAAAAGTGCCCAAAGTCTTAGAGGTGATCTGCATCTGATGTGTCCTTTACAGGCAGAGAAGCCAGGCACCAAAAGATACACTCTCTACATTTCTAAATTAAATGAACAGCAGTGAATAACACAGCCAAAAAAGGAGTTATCCTGTGTTGAAAATCTATTTGGGAGCAATCAGTCGGGGCTCTCAAACACACACGCTTGGTAGAGCCCCAACACATGGACCTCAGGGTTTCCAGTTGCTTTTATGGTTCCTCCCGAGCAAACACCCACCCTTGAAAAACACTGCCCAGTGCCCAGCACAGAGGAAGCCACTCCTCAGACTCGTTCTTTTTTCCCCTAAACACAAACCAATTTTATTTTTCTGAGAAGTGATGCGTATTTTGTTGCTCTGCCAGCTGAGCGATTCGACACATCGAACAAGTTATCTCACCATCTGGTTGTAATTGCCATCATGAAGCTTTCAACAAATTCAAGGAAGAGCACCAGAAGGAGGGCACTAATGGTCCAAGAGATGAACTGTTGATTACTGGAGATTATTTGATACAGCTGGAACTTTTTCATAGACAAGACGCCCAAACACATCCAATCCCACTGCTACAGCACCCTAACAAGCCTCTCTGGAGGATTTTCGAGTTCTGTCTGTTGCCCAGTATAAAACCTCCTCGCAATTTCATATCAAAAGCTCTCAAGGAAAACACTGCTTGCCCTTGGCATCTCCCAAACTGCTGGGTGTACAACTGCACACTGCTGTAATCTTTTGTGTTGAATACACAGCCTATACTTGGACATCACAATATTCTCATTATAGGACATCCTTTTCCTGCTTCTCCTGATGCCCAGGAGAGAATGGCTCACAAGACCTTTTCACAAGTTTGTCCCATGGTCTGAACTACATTCCCTAATTCCTTAGGGAAGACAGTCTGGACACACTCTGCTTGGACACGGTGACACACTCCTTGGACAACCAGAGGATCTGGCCCTGCCAGCATGAGTTTGAGAAACGCAGGTCTTGCTTGACTAGCCCAAGGAACTGGTGGAGTCACCACCTCTGGAGACATTTAAAAAATGTGTAGATATGGTACTCAGGGACATCATTTAGTGGTGGTCTTGACAGTGCTGGGTTGATGGCTGGACTTGATGATCTTATAGGTCTTTTCCAAGCTAAATATGATTCTGTATAAACAGAAGAATAAAGTATTATTTGCCTAAAATCTGCTTTGGACAAGTGTGAGTGCGACATGGATCCACTAGCCACTGCATCACACAGTTATCACATTTGTACCAGCAGAGTAGAGGGCAGATTGCAGCTCCTCACGTTTTGACACACACACAAGGTTCCTCTGAAAGTAAAGGATGGGTTTTGTTTAGAGAGCAGCACCTGACTTGGCACACTGGATGAAGAAAAGCCAAGAATTTCAAAACAATAGAAAGTAAAACATCCGTATTTCACATGTCTGTACACATTGCAGAGCAAGCAATAATATTAACGTGTTAACTGGAGTCCCATTAATCCTGATTACCAAGAGATGGGAGACAAAAATTCTTTCATACACACTAAGTTAACTTTTGAAACCTAAACTCTTTTGACAGCGTCGCCTTGAACTTGTAAACAGAAATATTCCCATGTTAGATGAAAAGGGAAGCAAGGATGTACCCATCCAAGAGCACTGCCCTGCTCATTCTAGCCCTGGACAAAACCAGATTTTCGCTCTAGAACTTTGAGATCTGCACAAAACTGAAAGAAGTTTGAGTTTTGCTTTTTACTTCCAGCAGCAATTGCAAAGCAGCGAAACAAAGAGGTCAGGGATGCTTTATGGCTCTCTGCCTTCCCTCTTGACAACAACCTGTGCTCCATAAACTTATCCTGTGCAATAACACGCAGCAACCTGTTACCCCAGGAGAAGATTAGGTGCCATGGGGACTCTGCAAGCAGTGAAAAACCCCTGACCTCTGAGAGAGGGTCCTCCTGCACAAGTGCTCTTCAAAGGTATAAAAGGTTTAAGCCTTCAAAACCGAACGGAAAAAAACTGAAATAATTATTTTTTTATTAGCCATTACAGTTTTTTACTAATAATAAACGCAGGACTTGGTCCAGAAATTTGACCTTCCTTAAACTGAAGCCTGTCACCATGTTCATCCTAAATAGCAACTGCTTCTCTTCAGACAGCCTTGTAAAACCACATCAGGATTGAGATAAGGACTTCAAACTGTTTCCACAAGATCATCATGGCTAACTATGGG